GATCATTTAGTTCATTGATTAATATATTTACAATTTAATACATGTAAGTAAAACTTACAAAAAAGGTTCAGTAACTTGCTCCTCATGTCATAGATTAAAAAATTTTAAAAAAGATTTCAAATGTATAACATGTAAAACATTTCAAACCCCTTAATATGTAAAAGGTCATTTAGTTCATTGATTAATATATTTACAACTTAATACATGTATGTAAAATATAAAGACAAAGTTAAGTAACTTGCTCCTCATCTCATAGAATAATGATAGCAATGACTATTTTCTACTTGTGATATAGTTTTCAATGTTTAGCAAGTACAAAAATTCATACTCAACTGTGCAGGCAGAAAATAATGTTACCTATACTTCCTAAACCTGTGCATGTATCAACAGTGGTGCACTTACTGTAATTGCTCTAATTTGGAAAAGCTGACTGCAGAGCAATGGTTCTACCCCAGAATCTCACATCCCTGGGCCAGAGTTCTTCCCTCAGCGCATTCTGTCTGGACAAGTGGGTGTGGTGGTAATTCACCATGATAATAGGGGCAATGAAGCCTGCAGGCCAGGGCTCAGGAGGCCACAGCATCCATACAGGACATACTTTAAATAAAGCACAGGGCAAGATGCTGCAGCCACTAAGCAGAAGGCAGTGCTGGAGTAGAGTGGCAGACACGTGAGCTGATAGAGTCTCTGGTGTTTGGCTGATCATGGACAAAAATCTGCCCTTAGCTGATGTCCAGTGCTGGACCAGCTGTCGCAGTGGTGCTTGCATATGATGCACTGCTGTGTCTGCTCCCCTTGACTGCTCATTTGGTTAACACAGTTAGGCACTGTGCCATTGGCACTGCCTTTCTGCAGGCCCTGACATGAAACAGAGTGCTCTGCAGAAAGTGGGCTCTACTGCCTCCTAATCTGTGTAGTAGCAGAGGACTCACAGAGTCACCTTTCAGATTAGAAGGAACCAGAACCATTTCTGTGCCTTGAGGAATCAAAGGCCAGGCATGTTCTACGGAATGGCCTCAAGATCTTGATGTGGTGAAAGCATTTAATGAAATCAGTCTGAGCTGTCCTTCCAGAAAGAAGTCTCCTGCCCTGCCCATGGACTCAAAAGGTGCCTTCCTCTGTGAATTTTTCTTCTAGGAGAAGAGGGGAATTGGGTCCTGGCAGCTGTATTCCCTTTTGGTCTTCATGAGTTTATGTATTTGTTATTAGTTTAGAATATAAAAAATGGTAAGGACTAAAAAATCACCTCATATATTTAATGTGTAACAGATTTCAACCTGTAAAACTTTCCAAATAAAGCTGTACTCTTTTAGTCAATTTGACTGTGTCTCCTAGGAAAATCAATTTTATTAAATATTAAAATAGGTATGATGATGCCTACAGCTTTGTTCTTTTTGCTCATTTTGGTTTGGATATTCAGACTATTTTGTGCTGCTCTATAAATTTTAGGATTGCTTGTTTTCCTAACATTGTGAAGAATGACATTCGATCTTTGATAGGGATCTGTAGATCACTTTGAATCTGTAGATCATGTGGAATAAGATGGACAGTTGAACAATATTAACTCCTCCAATCCCAGAACATGGAGAATCCTTCCTTTTGTTTTTGTTTTGTCTTCCATTTCTTTCCTTGGTGTTTTGTAATTTACACTGCAGACATCTTTCACTTTCTCAAGTAAGTTTATTTCTAGGTAAATTTTTAATACTTATCATGAATATTATTGCTTTGATGGCATCTTCCTCCAATTTGTTATAGATATATGGAAAAGTTGCTGATTTTTTATATTGTTTTGTATTTGGCTACTTTATTAATTTATCACTTAATAGACAAGTAGCAATTATATTATCTAAAATATGTGTTTTTCAGTTCAAATCTCTTTCATTCCTTCTGAGTAATGATGATGCTTCACGGAGATGAAACCATTGACTGTATTTTCACCCTTTTATCTCCTTTCTTCCTGCAGCTCCTGCTGGTCAGTGCAGCATTTATCAGCATCAAAGCCCTTTCCTGCCTCCCTTTCACACTCATTTGCTTCTGTAGGTAACCATGGCAGTAGAATCAGGGTATCATGCTAGACATGTCTAAAGCCCAAGTCCAATTTGGGAAAGAACTTTCTATTTTATTTAAGGAGAGTGGATGAGCCAATGATGAAAATTTCAGAGCAGGAGGAAATGAACCAAAATGTTTGCATTTATAAAACCAGCGAGCAATCAGGGTTACCTTTTGAAAATCAGGGAAATAAAAGTTTATTTAATGAGAGAAAGAATAAAGAAACTTCAGTTCATTATTTGGGATATTATTATTATTGATGGAAGGAATAAAGTCCTTTCATTTGTCCTTCTATGGAGTTTTGCATTTTTTGAAAACCACAATGAAATAAATTTAACTCCTGTTCATTTTTTGAGGAAATTATTTTGAAAATATTAAGGTTCTATAAAGTCAAAAATAAATCATCAGTGCTACAAACAAATCTAAATCACAGAATTCTAAGTCAGAATTTCTTCCCAATTGTTTTTGGTTCTGGCAAACATAACAAAAATATAATACTGGTACAGCAAGTAATTTCAAAAGAATAAAATTAACCCCATCATTTGGAAAAACTAAAAGTTTAAAACAGTATTTTTATCCATAATTTTCTACCAATATATTCCTGTATGGAGTATGTGCTAGCTTGGCTAGGAGGAAGGATTTTGAATAATACCTTCATTTTCATGTCCAGTAAATATAAACAAATTGTGAAATAAGAGTTTTAGATGATGTAATCCACCTTGTTGTCTGCTTTTCCATTTGCAGAATCCAACTGATAGGAAGCATGGAGAAGAGCAACAGCACGACAGACTTCATTCTCCTGGGACTCTTTAGGCACACGAGACTCCACCTCTTTTTCTTTGCATTGGTGCAGGCTGTAGCCATTGCTTCCCTCTTGGGCAACTCCCTCATGGCTCTCCTAATTCGCCAGGACCCCCAGCTGCACATGCCCATGTACTTCCTGCTGAGCCAGCTCTCCCTCATGGACCTCATGCTGGTCTCCACCACTGTGCCCAAGATGGCTGATGGCTTTCTTTCTGGGAAGACGTCCATCTCCCCAGCTGGCTGTGGGATGCAGATCTTTGTCTCCCTCACCCTGGGTGGTGGGGAGAGTTTCCTCCTGGCAGCCATGGCCTATGACCGCTGTGTGGCTGTCTGCCACCCTCTGAGATACCCTACACTCATGAGCAGGCAGTTATGCTTGCAAATGACCATGGGCTCTTGGTTCCTGGGGGCAGCTGATGGGCTCATGCAGGCTGCAGCTACTCTGAGCTTCACCTATTGCGGTGCTCATGACATTGATCATTTCTTCTGTGAGGCCCCTATGCTGTTACGCTTGGCCTGCAGCGACACCTCAGTCTTTGAAAATGTCATGTACATCTGCTGCATTCTGATGCTACTGATTCCCTTGTCCCTTATCCTGACTTCCTACAGCCTCATCCTTGGTGCTGTACTGCACATGCACTCCACAGAAGCCTGCAAGAAGGCCTTTGCCACATGCTCCTCCCATTTGGCTGTGGTAGGACTCTTTTATGGCCCTGCCATCTTCATCTACATGAGACCCAAATCCTACAGGTCAGCTGACCACGATAAGGTGGTGTCGGCCTTCTACACCATCTTCACCCCTATGCTGAACCCTGTGATCTACTCTCTGAGGAACAATGAGGTCAAAGAAGCCCTGAAAAGGTGGTTGGGAAAACAAGTCACCCTAAAACACCAGCAAACTTAATTCCACTCCTCACTATGAATCTAAATTCTTTTTAACTTTTTAAAGATATTGTAACTTTCCTAATTTAGTATTATACAAAAAGAAAGTTAAGTTTATATATCAGCTTCCTAAGAAGTATTTAAGAATTAAGTGAGCAATTGCATTTTTGATGCAACACTTTTGAGAATGTATTATTTATTATGATTCTAGTTAGGCAGTTTTTGTATATCATAAAAACATGAAATTGTAAGTGTTATTGATGTCATTACCTTCTTTCTAGGTTAAAAAATAAAGGCATGATAAATATATTAAAAAATGTTCAACATCACTTATCATTTGAGAGATGCAAATTACAGGAACTCTGAGATTTTGCCTTACTCCAGAAAGATATAGCTATTATCAAGTAATCAACTAATAACAAATGCTGGAGGGGATATGGTAAAAAAGGAACCCTGGAAAGGAGGGAGATGGAAGGAAGGGACAAGGAAAAAAAGTAAAAATAGGATAAAAAATTGAAACAAAGCTTTTCTATATAGGGAGGGGAGGGGGTCTTGAGGAGAGGAGACAATGGGAAAAAAAGGGCAGGATGTATCATATACAGGTGCAAATTCCCTATGATAAGTGTTAT